ACAAGGTTTGCTGACTCCCGTAGAAACATGTTTTGCTTTGACATGGAGGCCCCGGCGGATGATCAAAATCCTGGCTCAATAGGTTGATGGGGAACAAAAGGGCCGGTGGCAGTAACCAAGCACTACTACATATCGAGTAATCGAATGGTAGTATGTAAAGTGAATTTGTACTGAAGTTACGGGACTGCATCACAGACTACAGCAATGCTGCCGATCTGACCATTTTTGCCGAGACCGAGGTGTATTTACGCAAGTCGAGCGGTGCGATGACAAGATGATGGCAGATGCGCCAAGGTTCTCAAGTGGGCGCCACAACGGATGCCCGTATGTGGCAGGCGACATGTAGCGCAACGGCTGCCGTAGGTTTCCGTGCCACTACGGTCTACGTACACCTACAGCCCGCCCTCGGTCGCTGTTCGGCCAGACTTGTAAAGACGCTGATCAATACCATGCCATCTCAGACAACTTTCCATCCTTCTGGGAATGACAAAACCTTTCTATATCGTTTAGAACAGCCTTCCCGAGCACCGCCGTGATATTGTCATCACCCCAAGAATGTCCGCACCCAATACGCCATCCGTCTATCAGGCGACCTCGTCTCACGTGCACTCTAATGTCGACACATCCAACCTCTAGTAACATGACAGGCTCACTATGGCGTCATAGCCCACCAGATGCAGTCATAACTAACGAGTATCCATGCGAACATACGCTTTCTTATCTTTTGCCAGCAAACCCTATTCCCAAATCAACCAAGCCACCAGTGGGCGGAGAAAATTGCCGCAGCTTGACACCACTCTCGGCGAATATCTTGGCCGTCTGATCGTCGACCAAGTAGCCTTGATTGTATACGACCTCAGTTATACCGACCTGGGTGATCTTGACGCTGCATGTCAGACAGGGACATGTATTGCAGTAGAGGATAGCGCTGCCGCCGATACGGTCACGGCCTGCTTCGAGCAGGGCATTCTCTTCAGCGTGAAGACAGAGGCACGTGGAGAGACCAGAGCCTCCTTTTGCAGCATTGTTGCAACGAGGGCCTAGAGGTGGTCAGCACATAAAGCCAAAAGGTCCGTCAGTTGCACACATACATCCGCCCTCGTTGCAGTTGGTCATGCCACGTGGCGTACCATTGTATCCAGTGCTTATCACACGCTTCTCTCGAACTATGCAGCAACCGACTCTCCTTTTCATGCAGTTGCTCCGCAGTGCTGCCAGGTCGGCCAGCTGCATGAAGTATTGGTCCCAACTTGGACGCAGGCGGGCTTCATCGGTGAGGTCGAGGGCGCGTATGGCAGCGCGCAGAGAGTCTATCGATGTGGTACTATTGAGTAGATTGAGCTGTGCTCGGTAGGACAGCCCACTCAGGCCTGTGTTTGGAGCAAACTGATGATCATCGTTCTGGGCGACAAAGTCGAGGATGGACGGCGGAGTAGTGTTGTTTGCTGTGCACCGATCATGGTACCGCTGCCACCGCACTTTGACGGGAGCATCGACACTGACAAGTAAAAAGAAAGGCCTCTTCAGCAGGGCGTCGACGACAGAGGCATCCCATATGTCGGTTGTGACCCATCGTTCCCTCCACCTTAGCGTAACAAAGTCGAGCAGCGACTCGACATCCTGGAACGTGTACTGAGCATCTACAACAGGCTGCGTCGAGGCGGACTGGTCATTGTCGGGCTTTGCAGAAGGACCTGCCAGGCGTAGGCGGGTGAAGTTGTACTCGTCGATGAGGCACGAAGCTATCTCGGACTTGCCCGCGCAGATTCCTGCTGCCTTGTCAGCAACTGGCCGGCGAGTCTCGCGAGATTCTTGCCTCCACACACTCCAATAAGCATAATGATAGATGATTGCTGTATAGAAGGAGAGGCGGGTGACAAGAAGCTCGACGTGTCGGTGTCGATGAAGACGGGTTAGCGCGCGTGTGCGGCTGCAGGAACGCGCCTCAACGCTGCCCCGCCGTGACGGTGACGGCCTGGTGGGGGGGCATGACATGCACATGGATGGCCGCCTGAAGCCCTCAGCAGCACATATCACGCTCTCTCGACAGCTTCACGTGCCTCACCCTCTGCCTTGCTTCTGGCCATCTATGTACATGCGTACCTACATACATACGTCCATATGACCTGCACGCCATAGACACTGTACTCTCTGCTCGCTACCCATCGCCCTCTCCCAACGCCTCCAACACCCCGCCAGCCCCGCCACCACCCACCATGGCGACCCTCAAGTTCGCGCCTTGGATGAGCGACGTCGATGTCCAGTTTTACGCCGCCCTCGCTCATATCAAAATAAACCATGACAAGCTCGACGACTCGGCGCGCAAAGTGCTGGGCCTGTACGAAGTTCGCCCCGCCGAGCACTCCTCGCGCTCCATGCGCATTCAGATCCATCCCAATGCGCTGACGTCGGATGAGTACGCCATATCATGCCGATACTTGCTACACGCCTAACACCCCGTTAGCACGCCCCCGACCTTTTGCCGCGCTGAAGGCATCATCAAGAACTGCAATACCATCGAGGACTACAAGAGCCTTGACCGCGCCGCCATACTCGAACGCTCTGCCCAGACAGTATGCCTGTCCACTCTCAGCCGCCTACTGGTCTGCTGACTATGCCTAGATATGGGACGCCATACACGACGGCTCCATCTACGAATGTCCCTCACTCCTCTCCTCCTTCACAGCAATAATCTTCGCCAACCTCAAGAAGTACAAGTTCACCTACCATTTTGGCTTTCCAGCCATCCAGTCAGATCCCCCTTGGAAACAGATAGGCCAGGTGACAAGGTTGCAGCCTAGAGAGACTACTTACCTTGTCGACGCCGTGCAGACATGGAGGTACAGTTCTGATGTGCGTCAAAGAGGTTTCTTTCTCGCCAAGCGCATACGCGGAGGCGGGGAGGGTGAAGATAGACCAAAGACACCAGTCACACCCTTGGAAGAGTTTGGCTACACGTGGGGTGTCGGCAGACTTGAAACTTACGAAAAGGGCTTCTTCGACAAGGTGGACAGCCAGGACCGCTTCATATGCTTCGCAGACCCCTCGACATACGAGACAAACCCAGGCTGGCCGCTGCGTAACCTTCTCATACTGATCCGGCACCGGTGGAACCTGCATGATGCCCAGATTCTGTGTTACCGCGATACGCATACACGGCGCGACCAATCCAACTCGCTGATTCTCCAGCTGCGCTCAGACCCAGACCCTAACGCCGCGCCTACATCGCCTATACTAGATCAGAAGAGCACCCCGCCATTACCCAAGGTTACAGGATGGGAGCGGACAGAAACAGGAAAGCTTACTTCGCGGAATGTCGACTTATCAGAGTACATGGACGAGACCAAATTGGCAGATCAGGCCGTGGACCTCAATCTCAAGCTCATCAAGTGGCGCATAGCTCCCTCGATTGATCTGGACGTCATCAAGAATTGTAAATGTCTATTATTGGGAGCGGGCACGCTCGGGACGTATGTCTCACGCACGCTGATGGGATGGGGCGTCCGAAAGATTACTTTTATTGACAATGCGACCGTCAGCTTTTCCAATCCCGTGCGACAACCCCTCTTTAACTTCCAAGACTGCCTAAAAGGCGGAGCGAAAAAGGCCGAGAGAGCTGCAGAGGCTCTGAAGGAGATCTACCCAGGGGTGGATGCAAACGGCCATGTCATGCAGGTTCCCATGCTTGGCCACCCCATGACGGACGCCGCAACGACTAAGACGGAATTTGAAAAGTTGCAACAACTGATTGCTGAACACGATGCCATTTTCCTGCTCATGGATACGAGAGAGAGCAGATGGCTACCAACTGTCATGGGCAAGGCACAGGGCAAAATTGTGCTGAACGCGGCTCTGGGATTCGACACTTATGTTGTCATGCGACACGGCCTGAAAGCAACCCAGGAGAACGAGGTAGAGCTAGGGTGCTACTTTTGCAACGACGTTGTTGCACCCGCAGACGTAAGTAACAATTCTCTCCACATGAATCAAGCAACACCAAACTAACAAACATGTACCAGTCCCTCAGCAACGCAACCCTCGATCAACAATGCACCGTCACCCGCCCAGGCGTCGCACCTCTCGCATCCAGCCTCCTAGTCGAACTCCTCATCTCTATCCTCCAGCACCCCGCAAAAGGTCTCGCTCCACCCCCTTCCCATCAAGCCCCGGCAGCATCACCATCCCACCCTTCTCTCCCTCCACCCTTCCAACACCCCCTCGGCACCATCCCCCACACAATCCGCGGCTACCTCTCCACCTTCTCCAACCTCCAAGTTGAAGGTAAACCCTTTGATTGCTGCTCTGCCTGCAGTCCCAAAGTGCTAGATGCGTACACGGCGGATCCCTGGGGTTTTGTCCAGAAAGCGCTGAATGAGCGGGGTTGGGTCGAGGAAATGAGTGGGCTGAAGGAAGTCCAGCGGAAGGCGGATGAGGCGGCAGCGGATGTGGATTGGGAGGAGGATGAGGAGGAAGGGGGGTTGGAGGATGAGGGGGAGATTGTATGATGAGGGGTTTTTTTTTGTTTTATAATGGATGGTGTGACGAATGAGTGTGTTGTGTAGTATTTTTGCTTTTATGAAAGTATACTGAGAAAGGGGGAGGTGCAGAGAGAGTTATGTTGTATCAATTTCGGCACTATGCAAATTTCATCTCTGATGTATTTCTAATCTTCCTCCTTATTATTTGAGTTTTTTATTTTTTTATTTGAAATTGATTATTCTCCATTTTTTAAAGTTACCTAATTATTTCATATTTCTTGTGCCCATGTACTAACCTTTTGCTATCTCCTTTGTGCCTTACACATTTCCATCTCGCTTCCTTTCTTTCTACATACACATGTATATCCCTATCCATGCATGACAGCATTGTAAATGTAAAACCGTACATGTACAAAATCCCATCCGTCCGTCCGTCCGCTCAAAGCGGGGGAACACAAACGGCGTCTCGCTCGCTATGCTAACCACATCGACATCGACATTGAACAAAAACAAGAATCGTCTAGTCATCTCGCTCTCTGTCGTAGGTGTACTTACTCAGCTCTTAAACTGAAAAAAAAGACAAAAAACTTTCGCTAAGTAGACGAACAACATACATGTACCTCAAAAACTACCCTTCATATCCAGGCAACCGCACAACTTGCGCATGCGTAAATCTATCTAGCATACGCCCCCTTTTCAAAATCAACATCGTACGGCTCATCGCTATCGGCCCTCCTGGGCCTTGTGCGACCCTGGCTTTGATTGCGGCTCCGACTATGACTCTGGGTCCGCGAGTGTACTGGCTGCGACACAGGAACCTCGGGTTCATATGCCGGAGATTCTGTGCGTGGAAGTTGCCAGTCGTCCATGTAGCGTGGGGGGCTGGGTCCGGGATGAAGTTCGTCGTCTTCGTCGCTGGTGCGGCTGATGCTTGGGAGGAGATTTGACGAGTCGCCTTTTACGAGGCCGAGGCGCTCTTCTTCGGTTGCTGTGGCGTTACCGCCTCTGGCGTCACGGCTGCT